CATAACCCTTAATATAATTAAGTCCGCATAAAATGAAAACGAAAGTTGATCGAATATGACACAAAGGCAAGAAAACTAAAAATTAAAATTTCACTTCTACACAGTTTGACACTTTCACCATTTACACCATTCAAGTGGAAAATTTATTGTTGTTGTTGTTGCAGCAGTTCCTTCACCAACCCACTTACAACACACCACTCCACTATTGCTTGCAACAGCTGCTACAATGTCCGTTTCGTGTTGCACAAATGCCCATGGCACAAATAGTGGCCCGTTTGAATTTCTTGTCGCCAATGTTGCAAGTACATAAAGTTGTGAAAAGTTCAAGTTGCAAAAATAGTTTTTAAATTCACTCGAGATATTTTACGTTTTTTTTGAGTGTTGCAACGATTGTTAGATATTTATAATATAAATATGCACGCATACTTACGTATAAAAATGTGTGTGTATATGTGATCTCATTTTCAAGTTTGAATTTCTGCACTCACAGCTATGAATTTGACAGCTCTTAGTGCAAGTAAAAACTTTTATTGGGAATTTAGTCAGCTTTTATAGAAGTGATTTTAGGTGCAGCAATGCATAAAAAGAAAATTAATTAAAGTGGAATGGCTGTTTGAAAATATTCATATGATACGCGTTAGCCACTTCACAGTACTGTTCATTCCTGTAAGAACTTCGTACTATTAGGAAGTTTGTTAACAACAGGTTTTTTTTTTGCTTCGGAAAAAACTAATACGAGTATATGTAATAAATTCCGAAATAAAAATCATCAAAAATTATTATCATGAAATTGGTGATGCTAAATAAGAGTGTTATCTGAAGTTGTATGAGTTTTGGAAATATTATGTACCCTAACCGTTGTCTAAAAGAAGGATAAAATAATAAAAGTAAACTTTTAAAAAATAAAAAGGCAATAAGAGCAATTTAACGGTTCTTTAGAAACACCGTACCCATGGCTAGACTGAAGTAACTAATTTAGCACAGAGGAATACAACTCTGTGTCATTATAGATAGATAGATGGATTAATTATGAGGTATGCACCGCGACTTATGGTCTATTGTGCCCTCCCCTAAGTCATATCGTATCATCTGGACCCAGCATGTTGATAATTTCCAAAATTCTGCTGGGTGCTAGTGAGGCGATACAATCCCTGTGAGGAAACATGGATCCCAGGGCCTTGATTCTGCGTCTGCAGACTGCTGTTTAGTTCATCAGCAGATGTTCAGAGGTTTCCGGCTCTATGTCGCAGAACCGGCAGTTTGCAGAAGAGGCTGCAATACCCATGTTGAAGAGGTGCTTCTTAAGCCTGCAGTGGCCGGTGTAGAAGGCGACAAGTAGCCGGAATTTGTTTCTCGGGAGATTAATTATGGTTTCGAACCGTTTGAGGTCGTAACCCCCAATTAGCAGTCTGGCATGGTGCATGCCCTGAAGTTGTTGCCAATGTGTCTCCCTACCTACTCTTTGCACCCTACGGAGGAGCTATAAATGGTTCCGGTCCAACTCGTCAGCCAGTTCGTTTCCGGCTATACCGCTGTGGCCAGGCACCCAAAAAAGGTGCACTCGGTTGTGCTCTGATAGCCTGTTCAGCCGTTCTATACACTCCAGCACTAGAAGAGATCTGACCTCATAGGCAGAGATCGCTCTTAGTGCCGCCTGACTATCGCTGAGTATAGCAATACTTTTATTGCGATAGTTGCGTTGGAGGTTTATCCCTACACACCGACTTATAGCAAAGACCTCTGCTTGGAAGATGCCCGGGAAACTTCCCATGGGAATGGGGAGTTTGGTGCTTGGCCCAGCGACCCCCGCGCCCATCCCCTCCTCCGTTTTCGACCCGTCGGTGTACCACTTGATAGTGCTTTCCTTTAGCAGCAGGTCCAGTGATGAATTATTCCATTCAGACTTCCTGCCAAGGGAAACTTTGAACTTCCTGTTGAAGTTTACTACTTTGGTAATGCTATCCTTTGGAAGAAGGGCTAGTGGTATTTCCTCACTTAGCGCTTTCATCTGCTGGGATGAGATTACCTACCCTTTGCCAACTCCCTCTGATGTCAATTAGAGCAGAGTTCGTTTGGCTGTCTATTTAATTAGCAGATGTAGCGGTGAAAGTTCTAGCATGAATTCCAGTGCTGCGGTCGGACACGTTCACATTGCTCCCGACGCGCAGATGCAGGCAAGTCTTTGCAGCTTCGACAGTTTGAGTCCTACCGAAGTCTGCATTGCTTTAGCAACCCACGATACCGCTCCATATGTGATAATCGGTCTCACAATCATGGTGTGCATCCACCTGATTGTCCTAGGGGAGCACCCCCAGGATTTTCCAGCAAGTCGGTTGCACACCATGATTGCTTTTGTAGCTTTGGTTATGGTCTGGTCCTCGTGCTGCTTCCATCGTAGCGTGGAATCCAGCGTGAGGCCCAGATATTTGACCGTGCTGGCCATCTCCACCACTCTGCCGTCAAGAGATATACTTCTGAGGCCTGGCAGTGACCTTCGTCTGGTGAAGGGAATGATTGTAGTTTTAGAGGGGTTGATGTTTAAGCCAACTCCACTGCACCATCCCTTTGCCAGTCCCAGTCCCCTCTGTACGATATCGCAGAGTGTGTCTTCGAATTTTCTCCTAGCTAAGATAACAATGTCATCCGCATATCCCTGACAGCGGATTCCATTGCTAGTTAGCCGCTCAAGGAGATCGTCCACAACTAGGCTCCAAAGTAGGGGGGATAGCACTCCACCCTGTGGGCAACCTCTTGTTGTGCCCAGAAGAATTCTAGTGTCACCTACCGCGGTTTCCGCTACCCAAGTGCGCAGTACGGCTTCAATCCATCTGCGCACTGGTGCTGCCACATTCCTTTTCTCCAGTGCTCTTGACACGATTTCATGCGACGTATTGTCAAAGGCACTTTCGATATCGAAGGAAGGCGCATAACATCACCTCGCCCCCATCTAATCAATTCTGGATCTCTGAGGTTAGCTGGTACAGAGCAGTGTTTGTTGATCTGCCTGCTCTGTAGTCATGTTGCTTCGCATGAAGCGGTGAAGCCTTCAGCACCTTCGATCGTATTTCGTGGTCTATGATCTTTTCCATACTTTTGAGTAGGAAGGAAGTAAGACTGATTGGCCTGAACGATTTCGCCAATGAGTAGTCCTTCCTTCCTACTTTGGGTATGAAGATCACCTTTGCAGTGCGGAATGGTTCTGGGATATATGCCAGCGCAAGGCTACCCCTCATCAGCCGAACAAGGTGGGGCAGTAGCACCTGCTCCCCCTGTTGCAGGAAAGCTGGAAGGATACCATCCGCACCCGGGGACTTATATTTTTCAAAGGAGGCCAAAGCCCACTTTATGGAGTCTGCAGTGAAGAGCTGTTTTGCGACTATCCAGTCCAAGCGTGATGGCCTACGTTCGACTATAGGTCAGATATGGTCTCCTTGAATCGTCTCCGGGAAATGCGCAAGTAGAAGAGCCGTGGCTCTTTCTTCTGCGCTGGACGTATAGGTCCCATCAGATCTTTTGATTGTTAGTACTGTGTCCGTCTTACCCCTAGCCAGAGCCTTATGCAGCCTAGCTGCCTCTGGGGTTGAAGAGACGCTTTCACAGAACTTCCTTAAGATCGTCTGCTTTGTGGTCCTAATCTCCTTATTACTAGCAGTTAGGCTACATCTGTAATCCTCCCAGTTTCCGGTGCGCTTAGCCTTATTGAATAGCTTGCGTACCGTTTTTCTTAGCACTGAGAGCTTACTAGACCACCAGGAGCAGTTACGGCTCTTGTTGTCTTTAGGGGACAGCTGCTGCGATATGCCTCTATAATGGATTGGTTTAGGGCAGACAGTCTGCTCTCCAATCCAGAAGCCGTCGCACTCCTATCCAGCTGCACCCTACTGCTAACATTTGCTACAAGCGAGTCCCTAAAAGCGGCCCAGTCCGTGTTCCTAGGGGTACGCTTGGGAGGGAATTGTTTGACCTCCAACCCCAGTACGAATCTTATGATACGGTGATCCGACATGGAGGGTTCCGATGACACCCTCCATTGTGAGATCAGCCCTGTCTCAGACTCGTTACTGATAGTGATGTCAAGCACCTCGCTTCTAACACTAGTTACATAGGTGGGTTCGCACCCCACGTTTGCTATACTTAAATTCTTACTAGCTATAAACTCAATAAGAGACTCACCCCGTGTGTTGCAGTCCGTGCTGCCCCATTCAGTGTGATGGGCATTTGCGTCGCAACCCATGATGAGGGGCAGCTTATTCCGCCTGCAGTACTCTACCAGGTTGCCGACTGCCTCTGGGGGTGCTGTTGGAGTCTCCCCCGGAAAATAGGCCGCTGCCACGACGAAGTCCGCTCTTTCGTCGTTCCTTGCTTGCACAGCGACCAGGTCCTGAGTTAGGAACTCTGAAATATAGAAGAAGTCAATACCGTTTCTAAGTACTATGCAGGTTCTAGGTCTCTCACTTGAGAGATCCCAGATTACCTTATTTGACTCCATTTTGAGGCCCCTGACCTTCTCCTTTATTGACCCATGGCTCCTGAATCATTAGTATGCCCAGTCCATCCATCGTGAAACTGCTCGCGATAACCGTCGAGGCCGACGCCTGCTAGCTTGGGAGCGATCTCCCTCAGCCAACAAGCCGACCTTTCATCCTTGCAGTCAACCTGCAGCATGCCTCCCCTAAAATATACCCCATGGAAGGAGGCTTTGTATCCAGACCCTCTGAATACCTCCTCCATGAGTAAATCTTGGAGCACGCCTTCTTGCCGCTTACTGGGCCTCGATTGCTGCCATTACGCTTCCTAATGGCCGCGGTGTTACCACCCGCGGTCAGGCTGGCACCGCGCATTCCCTTTCTTCTGGGATCGTCCTGTCCTCCCGGACATCCCGGTGGTGGCAGGGGAGGTAGCCTGCCTCCCTTCTTCCTTCTCCGTTTATGAACCCCACCGGTGATCGCCCGTTGCGACTCCTCTGTATCCGAGCATTTGCTCCTGCTCGGAAGAGTCTCCGTCGGGTTCTCTTTTTCTTTTTCCGCAGCGGCCGCAGTAGAAGTCGCCTACTGAGCGCCGCTGCAGGAAGGCATGTCATCATCGTTATCCCTGGCATGCTCCTCGAACAGCGCTCGCTCCTCTGGTGAAAGGGCGTCCAGGAAGCTGAACTTACGTTTAGTACCTGATTTGCCCTTACCTGCACCGCTGCTCTTGTTGTTTCCGTTGTCCAAAGACGTTTGCTGTTGTTGTTGCCTGGTTCCAATAGTTGTAGTTGTGGTTTTTGTTTTTGTTGTTTTACTCATCTTTTTCTTACGACCCTTGGCTCGACAAGTATAGGGGAACAGAGAGAAGTATAGGGGAAGAGAGAGAACTTTTCTATAGGGGAACAGAGAGTCCTACGCGCCAGAGCCCTTGACGCGGTAAGGCCACCGTTACTTCCCAATGCGGCCCGGTGTTGGGAAGGCTCCGTTATACTACAGCCGAATTTTCCTCCTAGCTGCAAATCATTCAATGGGCACGGGAGTCGCATAACACCCTGGATTAGGAGGTGGCAGCTCTTGGTTGTCGCACGCATACGGCTTCTGACAACTAGTGTGAGGATGCAAGCACCGCTCACACCAGTTGGGAGATGCCGAGAATGCCTTGCGACTTAAGCCCCTGCACCACGGCAAGGTGCCTGCCATTCGCAGAGGATGTCATTATACACGGAACAGGAAAAACATCGTATTCCACCAAGTTTGTAACACCCAGAAGGAAACGTCAAAGACGCTATAAAGTATAGTGATCAGCGTGACGAGTTATTCATTTGACGAGATACTTTAGCTCGAATTAGCTATCAGAAAAACTGATCGATCAACATCAAGTTTTTGTATGGAATTTTTTTTTATTTGTAAGGGGTAATATAGTTTCAGTGCAACCGAAGTTTACGTTTTTTCTTGTTTTTATTTTCCATTTATAAAATAAATACGACAAACCTTAATTAAATCCATATACTTATTTCAACGTAAATTTTATCTTTATATATATAAATATCAGTTGTTTTAATATTTCGAAGAAATGGGCTAGAAATATCTGCTTTTTTTACTACTTGGCTAGCGTGGACTATTTTCCAAACATTCTTTTCATAACTCTCTTACTAAATATTATTACTTTTATTCAAAGTCCAAATAATTTAACGAAAATGGTTACACCGGCCTAGATCGCAAAAAAATGTGAAGTAGTCCATTACGTATATGAGATTTAGACAGGGCTTTTTTCGAATGCAACGACTTCTGGGTATACTCTTTCACTTAACCATTTTAGCATTATTTACTGTTCCCGAAAATATCTAGTAAGGTTTGCATAAAGCAAACTAACTGGTATGTAAGTTCATATATATTAATATACGGATTGATGTGTTAATATCGCAGGTATTGACCTAATCCAAACACCGTCAATCATTATATATTTTCTCTTTGTGAGGTTGTAACCACCCATTAGGAACTTGCCTGGAGCAGCCCTACTCCATTTAAAGTTGCTATTGAGACAACCTTACAACGTCAAAAATAGCATTAACCTTTCCAGAGACAAGCTCCGGCTACTAGTGGCATTTTACACAGGACTTTGCAGGCTTAAGAAGTACCTGTTTAACATGAACAAGAGGCTATAGTGCAAACTGTAGGTTTGGCGATATGTACTGCAGGTTCTACTCAGCAATCTGCAGACTCAGGATTAAGGTCCGTAGATCTCTATATCCGAATATGGATAATTTCTTCTCAAAAGTGCTCCATAAGATCCTGGTTGATTTATTAGAGTTCTGGCAATTTTTTAATCCGTGTGAAAGTGGAGATGGCACAATAGCCATAGGTCACAGTGCTAACTCCAATTTATATTAAATATATTCCACGTAAAGAAGGTTTTATTGTCAGAAACTATAATTTTTTAGAAATTCATCTACATGTAAATGGATTTTCAGTCAGACTCTATTATCTAGCAGCATAAGCCATATACAAAATATGGAATGTTTTATGCTATAATAAAAGTTTTGAACTGGGAACGAAATGGTCCTTATAACTGTTTATGTAGAGCATATATAGCAGAAATTCCGAGAAGCAAAATCGATAGACTTTTGAATATTTGACTAACTTTTTGTGCTGTGAAGCTTAAGAAGAGGATATCAGATCTGTATTCTTGACTCAATGAAGTTATTTCAGAACAGAAAATCAATACTCAGTGCAAAATATATTTGATTAGCAACTATTTACTAGTAAAAAAATCCTATTTATATGATATTACAGTACGTATTGACAAGCGCCAAAGTAAGTAAACAATAAAGTCGTGAAACTACCGAAAGGCATAGTCAACGTTTAAAAGTAGATAATAAAGGTAACGGTTAAGTTTTAACTGTTAATATTTTTACTAACAAAAGACTTTCTTTGAATGTTTTGAGCAAGTACTATTCTTATTAAATATGCTCACTAGAATTGTTGCAAAATTGACTGATTTAAAAACCTCTTGATGAAAGTAAGTTGGTATTTAGAACACCAAGAATTCTACAATGTCAACCAATTAGGACTCCAGATCAATGAACACAACTCCATTCGATTTTTGATAGCTTAATGGAACAAAATATAAGAGCATTTTTAAGCGAAGACCCTACAGAAAAATGGGCTCGGCTTTGAAAAAAATATAGGTTATTCCTCGCCTAACGATTTAATAACATATTTTCTCCACATCTCCAATTAATTGCAAAAACTGTTACTTGAAGAAAACATAGCCAATGTATCGAGTTTTAGCCCCGCATTTGGGGAATAATCAATTGAGTCGTTTACCATGTGTAGTTGTGTGTGTATATCAGGTTGTCCATTATCACTCATGATGTTTTCCTTTGCGAACGCCCCTAAATTCATTAACACCTTTTATAGAGCGATTTTTTTCATTTTAAGGCTGTACGTTGTAATTGTTTATAGCAAAATAGCAAAATATCCCATTTGATAAACATTGGAAAAGAAATATGATTTAGGACGGTTTAAATATTAAATAGGAAACAAAGAGCTTTTTTGGATTCATGTTTCTTGGTCAAAAACTGAAACTTTAGGTGGTGTTTGCAAAAAAAAATCTAATTTGGAAATTACGGATACCCTATTTTATATATAACGCGTGTTTTTTTAGACGTGTGGTTTTGAATGAAGCAATTCTTTTTTTCGGAGTTGGTCTTTTTGACAGCTGTTACTTGATTTATACTCAGCTTGATGAGGAACGCTAAATAGCCATTATTAATGACTTTCTAGTGTCTGAATTGGAGAATGTTGATTCGGACGCCCATTGATTCCAACATTTTATTGTAGAAAAAAGTTAGAGTGCGCATTATCTCGCGTCGTGGTTTAGTAGCGTGAACTCCAAGATCATGCGATTTAACACCGCTGGACTTTGTTTTAGGGTTATGTTAAGTCGCTTGTCTATGCAGATAGGCGCGAGACGAGACGAACTACTGCAAAAATGATCGAAAATTGGACCTCTCAGACCCTTACCTTAATAAAAACGCTATGTTGTTGGCCATAACATAGAATTATATGCGCTTAATTTCTTCTTGTAAACCACTTGTCTAAAAAAAAACCTTTTTATTCCGAATCCTAAAAACCTAGAATTTTTTTCCAAATTTGACAATACGACGAAATATTTTAAACTTTAGGATACGTTACAATTTGATTTTAAAGGATTTTCACTTAAAATTTTTGTGAATAGGTTGCAGCAAAACGGAAATCTTCTAGCATTTTATTGAAAAAACAATGCAGATTAGGTCTAACACTCTAGGTAAATTATATTCAATAACTCAAAGTGGCTTTCGCTTAAAAATGAATTAAAATACCATACATTTCTATAGCATAAGGTATTCCGGAAGATAAATACCGAATAATAAATTCCTTACTGCTGCCTCAAAAAAAAAAAAATAATAATAATAATGACGCACAAATTATTCTCATATGAAGACAAACATATAAATACACACAAACACATTTGCATATATGTATATGTAAAGATTAGCGCACAAACAATGCTAACGAAGCGGCAGCCTCATGGAAATGAAGCTCTGGCGCGGCTCATTATAAAGTCAAATTCGGCGGTTAGAATGCGACAGCATTGAATTGTTTGCAAAATTAATTTCCACACATATGACATATGGGTAAGTATGAGTATGAGTATGAGTGTTAGCATGAGTATGTGTATGAGTAGGAGTATGAGTATGTATATACATAATTGAGGCAAACACATTAGTCCTTTAGTCCTGTTAGAGAATGGAGAAATGGCTTGAGACAGCACAGGACTATTGCAAAAAACCGAGCTGAAAACAAACCACAAAAACAAAAACTACAAAGAGATTAAAAGCACGAAGCAGAAGTTTGTAGAAACCGCTCCGAGCGCTTATGCCACCGATATTGAGGCAACATATTAAAAATCCACAGCTGCGTTAAAAACTCTAGAAAATAGCAAATAATATAATACAGTGGTGATAAAGCAAGTGAGCTGAAACGTGCACACAGCGTGGCTCGAATTAATGACAACACTGTTGACAACAAAAACAAAAGTGGAATTGAGCTGTGCGCTACAAAGTGCATGGCGTATAAGCCGGCTCCAGTATTAGCATCATTTTATGACGCGTTTAATTGAAATTTATACTTTAGTAGGTAAACAAATACACATGGCGAAGGATGTGTTCGCGAAAACCAAAGTGATAAGCAGAGGTATATGCCGACGTCGCGTGTTCCTGCCATTCAACAGCTACTATACTACATACAAGTGCGGTTGGGGTGAGTGTGAGAGTGATAGGTGGTTAAAATGTTTGCGACGTGCTATATAATATTTCTAATAATGTTTATACGAATGGGGTGCGATAATTCAGGTTTGAAAAGTCATACTGGTGATGGCGAATAAAACTACTAGCAAAGAGTTAATCTATCTATGGAACTAATGTGAGCGTAGTAGACATTGGTCAACACAGCTCTTCTGCACCTGCGAGTTCATTCTGGCGAATAAAACGCAGGACATCCAGTGAAATACTTGCGCTTAGCAAGTTCTCCCTATTAACCGCCTGAACAAATTTGTGATTAAGGCTAGGCTTTTGTCTATTTTTCGGGGTCTTTTTGATTAATATCTACATATATAGGAGTTTTATGTATTACAACGGTCTGGCGTTCTAGGCTGTTCAAAAGAGATACCATGTTGAAGTTTGTTACAAGGTCGAGCTTTTAACCCAACCTAACCTAGGTACATATACCAAAACTTTTAGCAACCCGGAAGAAAAAACACCTGGGTCATCTTATTTAATATACTTACAGCGTTTTCTTTGTATAGGATGATAAGGAGAACACACAACTTTAACTTAATTTGAAGGAAAAGGTCTTAGGGTAGCGTTAGTATGAAAGAGTTAAACAAATAATTTCTGACGTATTATTTATCTCTCTCTTTCTTTCGCCAATTTATTTTTTTCTATTCCAATCTATCTCTCTCTCTCTCTCTTTCTCTCTCAAAATACGCAAATTCAATCATAAAACTTGGTATTTAAAGCAAAATTTTAATATGGAATTAAAAGCCCTACTATAAGAATTCAAGGCTTCAGAGCTCTGACATTTTCTTATTCTATTAAAACATACTATTCCATTGCTAAACAAAGGTTGCGAAATCATTCTGACAGCCATCTCTTCAAGCGAAGTCGCCCTGCATTCAGAAAGAGTTCCTCATAGAGACATTCATAACTTGATCCTCTAAGAAACATGTATATACGCTCAGAAACCAAAATTTTGCCTTTCAAAAAATGTTTAGCAAAAAATCATTGACTGTTCAAGCTTTCCTCGTACGCATAATTGTTGCTAATGTCTCTTATATGGTGGTATTAAAAAAAATCGTTTTCTCTCTTCTTCCTCTTGTGTCAGTCGTTTCATCTAACAGACTTAAGTTAACGACTTATGCAGCAAATAATAACCAAAAACAGCCAGATTCATGCACACACGTCACATAAGAACTCCGACAAGTTGCTGCCACTCATGCAGCTTCCAGCCGCCAACTTTTCCTGTCTGCAATATAACGCTCTTATTTGCTTTAAGCGCTTGTGTGTATGTAAGTGTGTGTGCCGTCATTTATTTTCGAAAGTATATGCTCTTCATTTTCCACCGCCCCCGCCCCCCTAAACAGTGTGTATGTGCAGAGTTTTGTCGCCTATGTTGCGGCTGCCTTAGGCATGCAAATTATTTAGCAGCTTAGTGTGAAATTGAGATAAATGCCTTTGAGTTATGACAGCCAAAGGATATGCAAATTATTTCGGATTTTAGCTTTCACTCTCGTCTTCAGGTATTTTTTAATTTCAAACTCATGCATGCAAACAGAAGACGCTCAAACAATAAGGAGACAGTGGAATGAAAATGCAGCCTGTCGACTTCACTTTTCATAAATACTCGTATAAATTCTATATATTTGTTAATTATATAGATAGCTGCGTGTGTGTGCAGCGCTTTATGATTTTTTCTCGTCATCTAAGCCGTAAGGCTTCTTTATTTTCATATTAGTGGTTTATATTAAATTAAGACTAATTCCTTCTAAGCCTCTCTACATGTTAAATTTTATTTCTTTCATAGAAATTTGTTTGACATATGTACATAAATGAGAAAAGAAGCAGGGACCAAAATATTTTGCTTCATTTTGCTGATGTAATCTCAATGAAAATCCCACCAGTTTTCAAATATGATACGGTTAGAAAATACTTTACTTTCCAGGAACCTTAGAACGTGCGCAGAAAACGTCAAATTCTCTATATATATTTTTTTAATTTTTAAAAAGATTAAAATACATAAATTTAGGTATGATAAACGTTTAACGTTTCAAAGATTGTCTCCCCAGCACATATGGATGACAATCACTAACCTTCTGTAGAAGACTGGAAACATATTTTTACAAACGAGCATACATTCAGACCCGATTCACAAATATTTATCATTTTAATAGCCATTTTATAACTTGCTTGAATGGATCGGGTGGGTCTTGACGTTTCGCAATTGGAACGACTGGAATGGCCGGATTGAAATTCTACCAAAAATATATGTGAACGGAGGGATTTGTTGCCGTTGTTGTTGAAAATGTAAAACAATGAAAATTTAATAAAATGCAAAATTTAAATGTATTTGATGAAATGTTTTGTAATGTGATGCATCATATTATTAATTTTCTATTGAAAATTATTAAAAACCTTTATTAATTGAGAGCTAACAAGCGTAAGTCATTTAATTAAGTATCGAAAATATTTAAATAATTTCTTCATATATTAAATGCGTAACTTATAACAATTTTTATCGTAGCAAATGTTGTGTGTTTTACTTTAAATACCCAAAAACATGTATTTTCTCTTATCTGGCTACAATGCAAAATATTATAAAAAACGCTAATTTTTAGGCGCTTTTACACTGGAATAAGTTGGGCATCCCTTTATCCCTATTATGCTGTTTGCAATTTTTTCTTTTGTGGTTGCTGTAAAGAGTGTTCCTAACAAAAAGTTTTAAAAAAATTTCATATTATGAATGTAGAGCGATTGAATTATTGGACGTACATTCCCGAAGTAGCAAAGGAGTGGGTCCACAAACAATTTATACAATATAAAAAGCTGCATTCATGCAAATTGCTATAAATATTTATTTTATATACAAAAAGTAGACCCCGATCAGTATTATTAGGTAGGATATAGAGTGTCGACTAAACGATTGAATTTTATTGATTGACCTGTCATTATCTTCTGTAAAAAGGTTACCTTTAGTGCTCTCACAGTTACTTACTTATTAAAATTGCTTTAAAAAATAGTTATCCCAACTGGGACACATTGCTTCTGTTTATGCATACAAGAGAAGATAAACGAGCAAAGCGATCACAGTGTACTAATTTTCCTTCTAAATTTATCCTGAACATTATATATTCACTTTGCCACAAAGTTTGTATAAAGTATATACAGTAAGACCCCGCTTAACGTCAACCTGGGAATTCCTCTAAAACGGTACATCCATGTGTACACACATCTGTACATACATTAATCCAATCAACGCATGACGACGTTATATCTATTTTTTTTGTTTTTTTTGTATAAATTTGAAAAATTTTTGTATTGGTCATGACTTTAGGATATATAAATATAAGTCGCGTTGCCAAATGTTACTTAAATAATATTATAAAAGATATATATCTTACGAACGGCACTCCTAAAATGAGCCGACTCCAAAAAACAAAACATAATTCGTTGACAGTACTAAAAGCTATCCCATCCGAGGCTTATACCATAACAAGTTTATGGCAAATTGGATATAACATTGGAATGCTGGTATTGTGTCAAAATGAGCGTATTTTGAAGACTACAATAAATATTTGACAATAGTTATTAAAATACATGAAAGTGCATTTTTTTGATAGTCCGGTTCAGTTTAAATTACAACTGGAACTCTAATTTGTTTGTCAATCTACTTTAGATTATCTTAAGTCGCTTAAAACGGCGTTCTAGCACATTCGACAATAATAATTCTTAAACTTATTTTCGATAAGGTAATCTACTTATATAATATATTAATTAATTAAAAGAGGTATTTATTGATATTTACAAGTCACTCATACCTTTACTTCTCAATTTCAAAAATTTTTTGCGAGCATATATGTATTGTATTTACTTGTAGGCGTATATTTACTGGCATACTGAAAGTATTAATATATATATTATACACATACGAGGATTACCTTTTTGAAAAAATCCACTTTTCATAGCGCTTGCCTTGCTCGGTAAAAAATCATTAAATAAAATGTATACATAATAACAACAAAAGCAAACACGAACCATAACATCGTAAGTCAGTCAGTCGATTTTACAGCGAAGTAATCAAGTGCTCAAGCGACATATATACACATACATCGTAACAGGCTATCCACGAGCCACCTTCATCTGTAGCGCTTATTAAAAGCGCCTTTCGCTGCACTCGCACTCGCCACTGCAACGCACTTGAACCTCGTTCACATTACCCAGCATACATAGTTGCCATTATAAGCGACATTAACACTTTTACGCTGACATTTATGTCAATTACCACGCACTACACATGCACTTCAGCACCGACAAGTCGCCGGGCTGCCAGGCTGCCGAGCTGCGGACTGGCTGCCATTCTCGCAGCGAATGTGAAATCGTAATTTCAACTCAACAGCGTGCGACATGGCGTATAAGTGCGCTACTGCTTCATGGCTTCGGCATAAAATTAGCGATTTTATGGTTATGTATATGCACGCGCGTGTGTGTGTATGTATGCGTGTCACAGGAAGTGACTTTATAAACGTGGTGAAACTTTTAATTTCACTCCGCTCGGCAATGACAACAATAACAATCGCGACGTTGACAGTGGCAATAACGAAGTGAAGAGGGCTAGCCCGCAGCTAGTAAGCAAGCAGACATCTAGCGCTGAACCCATTGGCCTTTTTAATGTTTAACGGTAATACACGGTAATACACGTCGTCCGCGTCGCTGTCGCTTTATTTGCTGGCGGAAGCGCAACGTGAAATACTGCGCCGCTGTGACACCGTAAGCGCGTGCGTGTGTGCCTGTGCGAGCGTGATTTCATTAAAAAATATTCAAGTGTTATAAATTTACTGCTGTAAGCGCGTGCTAATATAAATTTCAGCGATTTTATGTTGGCATGATTCGCCACGCCAACTAATTCCCACTTCCGACAGCATTTCTTTGCCGCCTCTCCAGTGTTCTACGGTTTGTTCTACCTCAGTTATAAGAAAAGTTTGTTGTTGTTGTTGTTGTTTTGCTCAAGTAAAGCGCGCAACCGGTATGTATCTTCTCTAAACATTTTGCTCCTTTCATAACTTTTACGCTCATTTGTTGTTGTTTTCTTAACTGTTTCATTTCACTCTTTACTCTTTTAGCCCATATTATTATTACGTTTTTCTTTTTGACACATTGCATTTTTTAATTAATACGCGAATGAGCAGGTAAGTTAAGCGATTTTGTTCCGACTTACTTTAATGCTTAAGCGCAACAGCGAAAGGACAGCGAGCTCAAACAAACAAAAACAATGTGGGAAGCAAGCAACGCAGCCAAAGGCGGCAAACGAGTAAACAAACAATGGTGTTTAGAAAAATAGCAGCCGAACAAACATTATTATGAAGCCAAAGGAGGAAAGGATTTTTTGGATATAACAACATAGAGTCTCGAACATGTCTTTTTCCAAAAAAAAAAAAAACAACAAACATGTGCAAAGTACTATATATGGGAGCTATTTAGACAGTTGATACCACTTTTATACGAGGTTTGTTCAAAACAAATAACGAATTTTGAATTTTTGCGGACTACATGAACTCGATTTTCGATTGTTTTGTTGCGTTATGTATGTAGGTACTTATAGCCCTTACTTATGCTCACAAGGTCGGCCGTTTTGAATCTCTAGTTAATTTTTGACAACTGTTTTACTTGAAGGCGTTTCAGTTCGTCTGCGATTTTTGCTTATTCCAATATATCAAAGAATTTGTATAAAATTTTGTGCGAATAACAAAATTAAGTACGCGGACACATTCCGAATATTGACTGTGGCGTTTCTCGGTGGTACAAAATGTTCGCGGAGGGTCGAAAAGATGTAAACAACGCAGAGCGCGCCAGACGCCCGATCATGTCAACAACAGACGAAAACATTAATGAAGTGGTTAATATACAATAGTATTGGCCAGTCGTCGAATCACCATTAGGAACATTGCTGAAGAGCTAAGCATATCGATTGGCTTGTGCTATTCGATTTTAACCAATGATTTGGGTATGAGTCGGGTCGCCTCGAAGTTTATTTCAAAATTCCTCAATTTCGACCAAAAATAGCGTCACGTTGACATTGCTCAGGTGATGTTGAAATTAGTCCGCGACGACCCAGATCTACTCCAGTGGGTAATAACTGATTACGAATCATGGGTTTATGGTTATGACGTGGAAACCAAAGCTCAATCATACCAATGTAAGCTGCCGCATAAGCCAAGACTGAAAACAGCGTAACCAAAGTCAATAAAGAATATCGAAGATGGTGCGATTTAGCACTCCTGGACTATTTTTTGTGAAGTCGCTTGTTTATGGAGATTAGCCCGAAACGATTGACGCCTTGGAAGATAATATTCGACGTGTTATTGACTCTAAGCACATTTTTCGCGGCGCCTTGATTTCATAGTTGGTGAGAAACCCTATGCGTTCTGCAAAAAAATTTCCTAAATTTTTGCATAGTTTCGATATATTTAAAGTTTGATATAAGTATTAGGGGAAGTAATCACCTTTTAGAATAGATATGGACTTAGTGTAACCCTTATAAGAAAAATAAATGTCATGAAAGTTCTTGGTATCCAATATACCCTTTACATTTTCGGTGCATTTTTAGTAATAGTAAATCTTAATAGACCCTCAGTTCTTTGAAGACAAGACATTTCATAACTTTTCTCATTATCATTTATCCATTTTATTTTATTGCACAAATAGCAAATGCAGATTTAACTTTACTATTTAAAAGTAATATAAAGCATTTCAGAGAAGGTAATGTTTTTCTCTTGAACGCCTCTGTACGTAAAATATGCATGTATATATGTACATGAGATAGTATATCGCAAAGTACAGCGCTTATATAATATAAGTGTAGTGGGTAATATTTGAGTCGAATGTACATATATATAAATTTGTATTAACAGTAATACCCACATACTTGAGCTATCTATCTGTGCGCTATATATTCACATGCCAACGATAATTAATTAACTTTATTGCCACTATATTTCCTACTTTTAACTACTTACATGCGACATTAAGAAGACACTGAGGCGTTGATACGGAGAAAAAGCAATGTTTTCGCAGATGGATAACTGCAAGGAAGGAAATAAAATAATATTATAATAACAAAAATTTGTGAAATAAAAAATATATATTTGCAGTTAAATTTGACGTGTTTTCATAAGAAAAGACAATTTAAATACAAATTTATGGACACTGATTATTATATTTTAGAGATTTTATTTTTTTAAATTTTTGCATACTCTCACAATAAATAATTTTGGTAGGTTGTCTGTAATACCTAAAACGAATTGAGATAAATATAAAGTTATATATAGCTATAATTTCCTAAATGATAAGAATGACGCGACGAGTTGAATTCCAGATGAGTGGCTATTCGTCGGTTCCTTTGTCCGTGCAAGCGATAGCTA